TCACAAGTTGTGTAACGCCCTGAATTTTGTTGTATTAATTATTGAAAATTATATAAATCTAAATATATATTCATGTGTGTATTTTTAGATATATGTTGTGAATATGTATGTGTGTATATATATGTGTATGTATGATTGGATAGGCTGAAAATGGGCTAAGTGTCTAAATGCAAGGCGAGATACTGGGCTGTTCTCGTTGTAGCGAGAGGATTCTCGCTGTAGCGACAGGGCCCTAGGAGGAAGAACTAGAACTGTCGCCTTCTCACTGTAGCGAGAGATGTCTCGCTGTAGCAACAGTTTGGGATGCATTTCTGGGTGCAGTCTCGCTGTAGCAAGAGGGTCTCGTTGTAGCGAGATTCTGTAGAAAACAGAGTGCATTTTTCTCTAGTTTTTTCGCTATAGCGAGAAGGCGTATCGCTGCAGCGAGAATATCTTGCTATAGCAAGAGTGTCGCAACTAGAAAAGGATTTAAAGGGGGTTAGGGTTCGGAGAGAGTAATTTATCCCTCTCCCTTCAAAATCCTTTCGAATCTCTCACTCCCAAACCCTATTCCGTCGATTAAATTTCCTTCCCTTTCTCTAATTTTGGGTGATTTCTGGGGTTCTCATGGAAACTAACCGTGTGTTTAGGCCGAGATCTATGTGGGGAGCACTCCCGTGGTTGACTTTGAGCGTGGGTCTTCAATTCGAGGTAAGGGGGGACTCTACCCTACTCTTTTATGTGAAATTTACTGTTATTCTGTGGAATGTTGTGATGTTGCTGAGTTAGAGGGTAGGAAATTGCTGAGATATGTAATGTGAATTATGGACTGGATGTCGTGAATGGGTATGGGCACTTGTGCCGTAAAAATTGAATGAATATTGTGTGAAAAGTGGGATCGAGGGCCGTGTAACATGAATGGAAATAGGCTAGGGACTGTGTGTCTTGAATGAAATGTGGGCCTAATATCGTAATTGTTAAATGTGGGCTATGTGCCGTATATTGAAATGTGTGTGACTGGGGCATGTAACGCCGTTGTAATGTGCTGTGAATGGTTTAGCGATACACTGGAGGTGTGAGAGATGAGGATGGTAGAAATACCTTGGGGAAGAAGGAGTGGTGGTAACACCGACTGTGGAACGGGTGCACCACAGGCCACACACTCTCTTCTTGACTAGACCTCTGACCACTATCTTTGCTGAGCGACCGATGACTGCCCACATGGTATTCGTGAGGCGGGGGTAACCGACGACCATTCATGGTGTAAATCTGTGATCACAGTGTTATAGTGAGTGTGGTTGTTGTGCGTATGTACGAGTTTGTGTATTGTGCTTGTGAATGTAAAATGTTGCCTGTAATTGTGTTTGTTTAGTGTATTGGAATGTTCTGGAGGTGAGACTCTACGTTTATTGTGTGCTTTTGGGTAGTGTAGAGTACTCATCCTTACATTCATTTTTCAGGTAATCAAGACAATCAGCACCGGACTCAGTGAAGGGACGGATGGACTGCTATAGGGCATAGAATTTATTTTGAAAATGTTGTAATTGAACTAGTCCTATATTAGTCATTTGATATTAATTTGTAACTTTTCACTTATTTCAAAATCTTTTTATGAAAAATTTGGTTATCTGATTTGTGAAATTATTATTTAATTAGAATTAAATTTATGGTGTTACAAGTTGAACATGTTTATCTTGATTGTAATGCTTGTTTCTACCTTATGAGGAATGATACATGATCTAGGAATCCGAAATGAGTTTGAAAACTATTTTGGGACCTAACTGGAGTAAACTCACACAATAGGTTAGGGCTCTAGGAATAAATTCAATTTATTGTATGCTATATAACTCTTGTTAGTAATGCTGGATTGTTTGATGTTTAGGTAAGGAATTATCTCTCAATAAATTACTCTTAGAATCTCGGGTGCGAGGAATCAGAACTAGTGAATATAAAGAGAGTGCATCAAATAACCTTGGTATTTGTTCAATGTGTGTTAGAACCAAAATACGAAGAGAATGATAGATGAAGTTCAATCCCCAAACTTATTAAAGTAGTTTAATTTGCTTTTATTTTGCATTTATTTTCTATAAACTAAACTATCAAAAACCCAAAATATCACTCAGTTATACATTTGAGAATATTTAAGAATTTGCTAATTTTAAATTAGATAGCTGAAATTGCTTAAATGTTCACATTCCTTGTGGATACAACAACCTTTTATACTACATTGAAAACTTGATACACTTGCCAAATCCTCAACAATTACATATAACATGTAAAACAATTTATAACAAGTATATTTACACATAAATATTGACTTTTATTTCTTTCTTGGTCTGATTCCATAACAAGTAGAGGAACGACTTCGTTACATTTGGGACAAATTATAAATAGTGAAAGGAAAGACATAAAGAGTTCGAGTTTGTTAATTTAATAACAATTGAAAAAAAACTAAGTTTGGTCCACTTAATTCTTTGTTTTGTTTTATCCTATAGATCTATTAACTACATATGGTATGGTTGCCTACAATGCTATCAATTATGATATATTAAAAGTGATCAATTCTTAACATATAAATATAAATTCACTATGATAAAAATCAATCAAGAAAAGAAAATATCAATTGTCATCAAACATAAAGATCACATAAAACGTGCAAAGGATCCACATTAATTCTAGCTATGGATTAATTACTTTTAAAGAAATAAATAATGAAAGCAATTGAAAAGAAATTCAAATTCAGTCAAAATGGAAATGCAAACTAGAGAAATCTCAAGGAGAAAGAGATGAAGAGAGATTTTGTCCCCAAAAAGCACCATTGATCATTGCTCAGACTTCAGAAAAATATTTTATGTCTTTACCAATAATCTTCACTCTTAAATAACTCCACAAGTCGAATAGGCAAAAGTCTCCAAGTCAAGTTCTCTAATAGAAAAAAAAATGTCTTCTTGAAATGTGTAAGGTCTCTTTAAATAAAATGAAGAATAAGAGAAAAGATAATAATTTTGCCTTCAAAAGATATATTTTATTTATAGAGAAATATTTGATATGTCAATCTCAAAATTTTAAATCCAAATTCAAATTTCAAATTTAGTTGCAAATCCATAAAAATAATCATGTATAGCCTCCAACACAACCATACATGGTTACGAAGCATTTTGAAGCTAGGTGTGAAGTAAGGTCTTGCTTCTTGTTAAGCGTGGCCCTATTTCCCATCAAATTTCATTCAATCACGATAAAAAAAATTCAATAATCTCTTTATATTAAACTATAACAAATAATAAATAAATCAATAATTTTTAGTAAATAAGAATTAAATAGATAAAAATAAATCATAAAAATAAGCTAAATATAAACTTATCAAATTAACAATAAAAAGTGATATATACTCTAAGCTTTAATGACCATATATAAATATGATTAAACAAAATTCATTGATAGTATGATTTTGCAAGTGAGTTATATGAAGAAGATAAATGCATAGACGGCCAACAAATGAAGATGAAGATAACAAAGCTCACAAAATTTGAGTGCTAGCATAATTGCATATAAATATCCATTTTAAACTGTATTTAACAATTATGTACTAATTAGAATAAGATAATACGGAGTTAGCTTTCTTTCATAAACTAATTTTTATTTGTTTAATTTATTTAAAAATAAATTATCATTATTTTTAATGAACTAATTTTAAATATAAATTTCATAATGTAAAAACTTATTCCAGCCACACATAAAAATAAAACAAATTATAAATGACAATAAACTCACTATAACAATATAAGTAATAAAATGACCAATTTTCGCACCGATTTATTTCACTTTTAAAAGGTCCTAATAAAAGACCGCCATTATCGGTATTAATATTTTAAGAAGTTTTTGGATATACAATTTAATTAAATGTATATTTAATATTATTTTATAATTAAGATTTATATCATATATTTGATGATTAAATTTATTAAAATAAATTGAGAAAAACTTATAATGTATTTAGATGCATATTTAAATAAAATGAATTTTAAATATATTTTTTAAAATTAAAAATAAAAACAGAAACAATCAGGTTCTTATTTTATTCAATTTTTTATTTTGTTTTTAATTATTAGTTTAATTTTTATAATTTACATGAGATTGCATTAATTCTTGCTTTTAGTTATATAGTTTTTATAAACTAAAGTTGAAAAATTAATGTAAAATGATTAACAATTAAAATAATCTTTTAAAAACTGGTCATTTATTTTATTTTTTATACTTGTAGTGATTCATTAATTTATTGAATTGAAATGTGTCATTAATGATACGATGTATTTCATCTTTTGAAATAAAAATTTAAGTTATTGGGTTAAAATTTTTAAAATTAAATTTAAAGGTATAAAAAGAATGAAAATGTCACGTCAACTACTTATTATATTATATAAATTAAGTTGAATATTACGTGGACAAATAATAAAAAAATTATTTATTAACAGAAAAAGTTATATTAACAAACTAATTTTAAAAGACTTATTTAAAAAAATTAAAAATAAGAGATAAAATAAAAGAGTTATAAATTTTTTGAGGTTAAAAGCCTAATTTAATCCATTAAAAAAAATATGCATGGGCGTTGGTTACTTAATTTGAACATCCTCATCCTTGATAAAATGATGAAAGAGGAAAACATACAAATTATCACTAAAAGTTAGAGAAAAAAACAGTTAAATTATAATAAAATCCTAAAGAGATATATTAAATATACAAGATTTATTTAAAATATTTTCTACAAAAATATTTTTTAACTCTGCTGTCATATTACATTAACTTTTTTATAACACCCTTCTATGTTTTCTATTTCTATATAATAAAATAAATTTGATATATTTATTACAAAATTATAATTTCTCAATTCTAAAATAGGTAGAACTGAACTTTATTATATTTTGAAATACAAGCCTTCCCAAAGCATATGATAAATAAATAATAAAGAAAACTGTGATGGGACCATTTTTATTACATTTTCCTACAGAAGTGCAAAATATTCTTCAACACGGAGGCATATCTGCAGGTGGAGGTGTTAATTTTTCATCATATCCTTCTCCATCCGTCACAATAAGCACCGTCTCCATGCCCCAAGAGAGGTGGCGGTCAAAATGGCAATGCAAAAACCACACTCCTATAATTTATTTCAGAATATATGCAACGATTAGTTATATGTATAAACACAGAAAACGGAAAACAGCAATTTAAAAATCCAATTTTATCATGCGAACATACCTGGGTTAGCAGCTCGGTACCTTATAGCGGCCCAGCCATTTTTAGGCACCAACACTGTATTTATAAGAGGAGGGTCAATGAGATTGTATGTCATGGGGTCCTTGTCTTTATCAAAATTCCCAAAACCGTATCCAACAAAATAAAAACTAGTGCCATGCAGATGTATAGGGTGGTCTATCGCTGCAACCAGGTTTGTCCCTTGGAGAACAATTTCCACCGTTGAACCATATTTGATAACCGCAACCTTAGTCCCTTTCTTTGGTATCTCAAGGCTTAGAGGCAAATACTCTGCAGTAAAGTCAAATAAAAATGGAGGAAACCTGGGAAATCCTGTATCATACACTCCTTTGATATGGTAGTAATAGGCTTGCAGGATGTCAATGCTGGGTGTCCGAAAACTTATGTTGTTCATGCTAGAAGCAAAAAGTGTTCCATTTGGTCCCTCACAGGTTTCGCCTTCAGAGCATGGGAGGGTGTTCACAGAAATTGCGTTCACAATATGAGTGGTGATGTTTGTTGGGACTTTATAGGGGTATGTTGCAGGTATGCCCTTAATGCTACCATAGTAGTCAAAAGCTGCATTTATGTTATTATAGGGAGGAAGATAAGGTAACTTGGGAGATGAAATTGGAGCATGATTTTCGTTGTAGTGGATCCTTGCTGTGGTTGTGCCATTGTCAAAGGGTACTGCAGCTGCACTTGAATATGCACGTGCAGCCAAGTAGTAGTCATTAGGCTCTTGGTTGGCATACATCAATGCATCAACTGTTTGTCCGGGAGCTATTGTTATGTAATCTGTTGTCACTGGCTTAGTGTAGCTGCTATCAGCACCAACAACCGTGAGATTGTGTTTTGAAACAGAGACAAAGTACACGAGATTCATTCCAGCATTAATCATGCGCAAAAGATAAGTCTTGCCGTGGTCTACATTCAACTTGAAAGTTTCTGAAATTCAATGAATATACAGTGTTATTGACTGTGAAATAAAAATCTTTAGATTCGAGATAATAAAATTTTTTAATAAAATTAAATTACATAAAATATTTTGATTGGACAGAATAATTAAATTTTCCTTCAAATATTTTTACTCCTTAACAAAGGATTTTCTCTGTCATCTTAGTCATCAAATCTGTCAATTTTCATTTTTTTATAAATTTGGTCTCCAAATTTTGTCAACTTCAGACTAATTTGTCACGATGTTGACTGATTCAAAGATCAAATCAACAGAAATTACTTTCAGGAACGAAACTTTATATCTACTCCTAATTAAGCTTTTCTTGAATATAATAAATATAGAAGTATGTTACAATATGCCAGTGTTGAAGACTGTAAAATAAAATCTTGACGTCTACCTGATTTTGAGCAAGGATAAAGGTCACCAGGTTGGCCATTTATAGTATTAGCGTCTGAATTATTTGGGGCTCCTCCAGTTCTGAGAAATTCATCATAAACATCCTTGATTTCACTCTTCCACCATTCTCCTATGTTCAAAATAATAATAAATAAGTAAAATAAATAAATAATAAAATGGTAAATAAATACTGTAAAAGATTCATACCGAATACAATGGGCACTTCTTCATCAGGTTTGGGAAAAGGGTAGGATGTACCCTTTCTTGGATAAACAAATATAGGCCCATGGACCGTTGCTCTTGCCCAAGCACTATGAGCATGCCACCATATAGTCCCTTCCTCAATGGAAAAAATTATTTTCTGCCTGAACTTCCCTCCAGGTTGAATCGGGCACTGAGTGATGTATTCAGGGCCATCAGACCATGGATTCCTTGGTTGCTTCACTCCATGCCTGTCCAAAAATTCGTTACAATATACTAAAATTAATTTCTTTCATGTGGTTTTTTCCAAATAACATCAATACTTCTATGGTTATGAAATCAATACCAGTGCAACGTGATGTTGAATTTCCCCTTGTTATGAACATTGACATATACCGTTTCACCATGGTAAGCTCTAATAATTGGCCCTGGAAATTTTCCATTCACGGTCAAGATGGTTTTTGTGCTGCAGAGTCTTGTATAACGAGCTTCTTTGACCTATAAAATTTATCAAATCAGCTATTTACTATACTCTGTGAACCATAATATATGACATAGATAACATTGCATGTATTTAAACTAAAAAATTAGTGAGAATTATGGTGATGCTGCTAATGGCAGATAATGGTCTAGGATGTATAAGAACTCAACAATAAAATTGTATTCATTCAGTCCTTTGGAACTGATTCGAATGAAGCAAAAGCACAACACAGATTGAAGGAAGAGAATTTTCATGCCAAGAAGCCACATTTTCATGGGAGAATATGTTCAACTCCTGCCATTGAGCTACTGCTAATAAATAGTCTCTAATGTAGGATCCTAAGCATTTCTGTGAGAAATTTTATTTCAGAAAGGAAACAATTTTATTAGGAAAATATGTTGAAGTGCATTTATGTTTGTCATTAAATATGATTTTATGTTAACAAGTACAAGGATGAAAAGATTCGCGGGAGAAAGTGAATAGAGATGCTTCAACTAATTATGCTGGTTTTATGTATATTATAGATCATAAACTGCTTCTTTGAGTGAATTTAATTTTAACAAAACTCTGGTAAAATTGATTGCAAGATCGGGTATATTTAAAACTTATCATGCACGTATACATTAAGATATCGTAGTCTACATACGTTTACGGTCCACGTATTTTGGATTACCACGGACGCATGTTAAGTAAACCTTATCCGCCCATTTTAAGGTAATTTATCTTTCTTTTTATGGCGTGAGATATTTAAATTATACTTTTTATTTTTTTTAAAAAGTATACATCATTTATCAAAGATATCACTGTATTTTTTTTTCTTATGCAAATGACATGTTTTAACAAAAATGAATAATTATAAACCATCATTTTTAATAGTTTTTATTTCTCTCTCAAACACTCTTCATATCACATAATATTAATTATACAACTAGTGCAAGAATGACGTTAAATAACAAGATTTTATATTGATTTTATTATAACCAGTGATGTTCTTAATAAACAATTTTATTTTTTTTTGCATAATTCATAAAAAGATATATAATTTTAATAAAATTATTTACTCTTTTTAAAACATAATATGAGAAAAACTTAACAAAATTTTAAAAAAAATTCATTTCTCACCATTTGATTCATAAAAAAGTTTAATAATACTTGAAATACTAAAATTTAACATATGATTAAACATTTTCCATTGCAATATAATGTGCTATATAAAATAAAATTTGAACAATAATAAATAATTATTATATTTAGTATTACTTAAATTCAAGAGTTCAATATTTACAAGTCATAAACAAAATATTTTAGGACTTATTTAAATAATTAGGATCAAAGTACATCAAGTCCTAATAAGCAAAATATTCTCACACTAAAATCTAAAGAATATGATCCTAATTTGGATGAGTCAATCAAATTAGTTTCTGTGGGATAATCATTTTCATTGCAATGTCAATTTGATGAATCTTCTCCTCACCATTAAACATAACCAAGATAATCAATTTGATATTTTACAACAATAAACAAAACACAATAATAATCATATCTGCAATGTCATACCACATATGCTAAAATCACACTATTTAATATGTATACACCATTTTCTGTATATTGTGATCATAGTCTTTTAGTACTTTGAACATTCTCTTGGACTCTTATCATGACCAATCATTGCTGATGTCACATATTTCACATTCACATTTATAGTTTTATTTTTAGAGCTTTTACCATTTCTTAATTATTGAAATAAATTGGGCTTGTTATACATAAATGCTTTAATTTTGTATTTTTGGCTATTCTGACATCTAACTACTCTTTTGGCCATAACTTTTTCTACATATATTGTTTTTGGCTGATTCTAGATTCTAGACATCTAGGGTTTCAAAATGCATATATGGGTTGCTAGATTTGGAGTTATTTTTTATTTTCTATGATTTTTTTAAGTTGAGACAAATATGCTAAATTTGTATACAAGATTGCATTTGGACCATTATTATTAAATATTTGTATTTGGGCTTTTAAATACAATTGAGGCCCAAATTTTGGCCATTTAGTTTAACTCTATCAAAACCTATAAATAGACTAATAAGGAGGTGTGCACTTTTATATTTTGAATTTTTAGATTTGGCTCTTAAATAAGAATCTTTCTTTTCCCATTTTCTCAATTTTTCTCATCTTCTTCTCATTCTCGCTTGGGTTAAGTGCTTCAATGGAAGGTCTAAATCTCTTGTTCTATCTGTAGAATCCAGATGATGTAACTCCAATTTGATTTTTGGACCAATTGCTTTGAGTTTCATGATTATGATTAACTTTTTTGTGGATTAGAATTTAAAATAGGATTCGATTGATATTCTGAATTGATAATTAAATTTAGGTTAATTTAAATGATAATTTGATTTAATTCATAATCTGATTCAATTAGATTATTCGATTGAATTAATAATTAGATAGGATAATTGTTCAAATTTGGATTAAAATCTTTAGATACTGTGATAATCAGAATTACATGCATTTGAGATTCTGTAGATTGATAACTAATTTTTTTCTTCAAGTCAATTGCGTTCATAATTTTAATTTGATTGATTTGAAATTCACAAACCCACAAACTATTACTCACATTATTAAAGAACCTAAAATTGAATTTAGCTCAATATGTGTCTCTATGAATTGACCTAGATTGAGTGTCACAAAGCTGAGAGAACACTAACTAACAAGTGTACTAGGTAGTTGTAGCAAGTAATAAAATTTGTAATTCATTTGAGTCCCAAGTATCGTCCTCAGGGATTAATTCTATCAATTACCATTTCACAAATTAATAACTAGTTGAGCTAAACAAATTTTGGAGTGTTTTGAGCATTTGCAAACAAAAGCAATAAAGTGTAGAAATAAGAAAATCACAACAAAATAGAGTGACGAATTAAAAATGAAATGATGTGTGAATGGAGTTAGGACTGATTTCACCTCTTTATCAATTGCAAAGCTGAACTCTAAGTTCCTTAATTGATTGATGATCAATTTCACTAGATTAATCAAAGGATAATACCTTGCCTCATTGATCCTAATATCTAACTAAACTATTCCAATTCCTTAGGTGTAATTCAGTCAAACATTGCATTAGGCATTAGAAATTAAGAGATCATAAGATCATGAATTCTTATCCCTAAGATATCCATAACCTTGACATTCAATTCAGATCTAAGAAATTAACTCAACTTCTATTGATGAAAATCCTCTAGGTTCAATTCAATTGAATAGCTAATTCAAGAACTGTATTAAGGAAAGAACTAAACGTTCAATACAATCAAGATCTTAAAATCCAGATCCACAATCAATTTACAATATCAAAATCGGATCCATCAATCCATAACAAAAAGAAACCAGAATATGTTCCTAAAAGAAAAACAGAGAGAAAGAGTAGAAGAAGAGGAGCTGCAGAATTTCTTCAAAAATCCAATCCTCGGCCTGATTCCTCAAGGTCTAGAGCTTGGAAGTCGCCCCTAATCTCCCTCTCTAACTCTCCTAGGGTGTAGAAATGAAAAAAATGAGAAAAGATCCTAAGTTTCTAAGCTAATCTCATATTTATAAAATTTCCCCCCTTTTTGGCGTGGTTACTTTTATAACATAAAGTAACCACGCAAAAGGCTTTCTGGTAGTCTTCATAACTGCAACAACCACTTTTATTTATAATAGTAGCAATGTAGAGATGGATTACCTCAAATAGCATGCGTGTGATTACTTTTATTTACAATAAGAGCCACGCGTAACTTGTTTTTCTTAAATCCTCTTTGGAACAATCACTTTTACTGACAAAAGTAACAACGCGTAGCTTGTTTTGCTGAGATACTCTCTAGAATGATCACTTTTATTGACAAAAGTGATCATACGTAAGTTGTTCCTCTCACCCCAGCTCTAGAACAATCACTATTATTAGAAATAGTGATAACGCAGAATCTCTCTTCATTGGCGTAGTTACTATTGTTAGAAAAAAGTGTTAACGCACAGGTTAACTTCTGAACTTAAGCTTTAGAATGATCACTTTCCTCAGAAATAGTGATAATGCCCAACAGTTAGCTTCATTATTGTTTGCTCTTTGTCTCCAAAATTACTACTTTCTTCTACTTTCTCTTCTTCAATCCTTATCCTTAAGACTCTTAGCTTAGAATCTCTTGTAAAACTAACAAAATTACATCAAAATACTATCAAATTCACATAATCTGAATTTCTAAAGACAACAATTTACTTTATTGAATATTTATATATTTTCGTGCAGTTTTCACTTTCCAAATTACATTTTCTATCAAAAGCAACCTAGAAAACTACTTAAAAACGTAGTAAAATCTGCATTTATCATTGAGCTCTATATCAAAAAAATTCTTAGAGAAAACTTAGTTGTTTTGGTAGCGACTCGGCAATTATTTATTAAATTGGCGCCATTGTCGGGGACACATCAGTTTTGAAATGTTTTTTAAGAGTCGTTAATTGCGCTTTAATTGTTTATTAAATTTTGCAAAATTATTTCTATCATTTATTTCATGTTTTGTGTGGTTCTGCATTGTGTGTGATTCTTGAATTTTCTGTCATTCTGAAATTATGCGATTTAGGTATGTTTACAATATATATATATATATATATATATATATATATATATATATATAATTATCTTTATATAGAGAAATGTTTGTCATCTGAGAAAAAAATTAGATTAATAGGATTGGTGCAGAATTAAGTGTTTTGCATAGATTTGAAGAGAAGCGGAATCAGGATTCACGAGATTTAGAATTACGGATTTGACGATCACCATTCTTGGATGTGCAAGAGAGTTGGCGCCACTTTGGAAGTCTTTTGGAGCATCTTCAGTGAAGAATTCCACAATTTTCCATTCTCTAAATCTTCCCTACTACTTAGGAGTATTTTTGTAAAATTTTCTGAACTAACTTCATTGCTCCCAAATTTTGTCTGCAAGCCTGGAAAAGAATCGAGGATCATTCATTACACATCTATTACCTGCAGCAAGTCCGTGTGGTTGATAAACGATGTCGAGTTTCTATCAAAACAACTAAGTTCTCTAAGGATTTTGTAGTTTAGAGCTAAACCTAGGTCGATTCACAGCGACATATTTTCAGTTAAATTCAATTTTAGGTTTTCTTTTAAAGAATGCAAGTAAACTTTTTGGGGGTTTGAAATCTTCAAATTAATTAAATTATACTACGAACAGAATAAAATTTAGTAAAAACAAATGAAGAAATATCAATCTACAGAATACTAAATGTGTATAACT